GGGCTGCGAGTTTGACAGCCCTGGGATAATCCCCTTCATCATGTTCGTTAAGTGATCTATCTGAAGAACTCTGAACCAAGAGTTATTTAAGCATCTTCTCAAATTTTTGCCTTTAAATAATCAAGAACATTATGAGCAAAAATTGGATGGATGTAAACACTGTAAAAAGGAAACTTTCTCCTACTCTTTTTTCTCCATAAAAATAACAAATACTGTAAAATTAGATGCCAACACCAATTTAATTGTAGCAGCATTAATTGTCAAACCTATGTGGAAAAATGGTAGGCAGATATGTAGATATATAATATAAAATATATCTTTACATAAAAGAAAGAATGCTATTGGAAGGCAATATTCTACTGGTAGTGAAGACAACTAGAATGAAATTAGACACTTTTTTCTTAAATATGTGGTAGGTTAGCATTAGTCCAGACTGATCTAATAGATTAATGAGAACTCAACTATAATGAATTTCCCTATGAACCAATTGTTTAAAAGACATTTGTCAATTCAATGTTCTTCTTAAACCACAAGTGTTTCAGTTGATGAACATAAAAGGAATATAAAATTAAACTAGTAGATGTTCTGGCTCAGAAAAAGAAAATGCTGAGAACACATTCAGTTGAAACAAGATATAAAAGCTTGCTATAATAATAATGTTATGTAAAAACAAGCTAGGACAAGCACTAATGCAGTTCTCTAGGAACAGATTTCTTTGGAACTAAAACACTGAATGAATTACGTTGAATGTTATGCAAGCGAGCTTCCAATTGTGCAATGGGATTTGGCCTTGCTTTTCTCTCCTCATGATGCCACCAGATGTTTCAGAGAATTTCCCAACGTTTCAAATCAGATTTTCAGAATGTGAAGTGCAGGAGGGAGAATCTAAACTGCTAGCAAATGTTCTGTGAACAACTAAACACAGTTGTGAACAACCCACTAAAGATCTTTCTTTACTTCAAAGAAGTGAAAGCTCCAAGTATGTCTGATAAACTGATAGACTTTTTTGAGGAGAGATACTTGTGGTAAAGTATCTTATCCACAGCTTTAGTTCCTATATAATTCTTTCACAATTAGCTTCATTTTCAAGAGAAAATAGGTCTCTTATGGCAGAGAAGCCAAGGCTTGAGTTCCATGTATCTGGCCTTGGGACCACTGGTAGTCTTAGGGCCGGGATGGCGAACCTATGGCACGTGTGCTACCTGAGCCATTTGTCAGGGCACATGAGGTATTGCCCTGTCAGCTGGCCAGCATGCATGTGCGCACTGGCCAACTGAGTTCAGCTTTTTTTTAAAGTCATTTTTTGCCCTCCCCAGGCTCCAGAGGCTTTATAAGAGCCTGGGGAGGGCGAAAAGAGCCCCCCGCTCCTCCCGGAGGCCCTCCAGAGGCTTCAGAAGCTTCCCTGAAGCCTCCAGAGTGCAGAAAACCGGCCCTATGGGCAAACCGGAAGTTCGGGAACGGACTTCTGGTTTGCTCGTAGGGATGGTTTAAGCCCTCTGGAGGCTCCAGGGACCTTCAGGAGGTTTTCCTGAAGCCTCCAGAGGACTAAAAACGGCCCTATGAGCAAACCAGAAGGTCATTTTTAGTCCTCCGGAGGCTTCAGGGAAGCCTGAAGGTCCCTGAAGCCTCTGGAGGACCTCCGTGGCTGCTTTTGCCTCCCCAGCCTCTGGAGCTTGGGGAGGGCGAAAAAAGCATGCAAAAAATGGGGGGGTCGCGGCTCATGCATGCATGCACATGGGGGGTCGTGCATTGCAATATGGGTGCGGCACGGCCACGCACGATCCCCCCGCGCTCCCCCCCACTTATGGCACGAGAGCCAAAAACGGTTCGCCATCACTATCTTAGGGAAACTGCAGGTGGTCTCAAAATGACAACCCAAATTACCATCAAATCTCCCTTTTCAAGACCCTGTAATCCCTTAATTCGAGGCAGAGTCAAAACAACTGGATGGAGCTGAGCATTTACTGGCCGGATGCTCTTCCTGACACCACACAGAATTAGCAGCAGATATTTTTTCTTTGTATCCAATGCTTTCTTTGTGAAGACAAATATCTGCTGCTATTTAGTATTAAACTCTCAGCCTTCTGAATGGGAGGCAAGCATCTACGCCACTCATTTTGGTCATTAAAACTAAAGGTAGCCCTCAACTTACAACAATTCATTTAGTGACTGTTCAAAGTTACGGCACTAAAAAAAAGTGTCTTATGACCATTTTTTTGCACTTATGACCATTGTAACATCCCCATGGTCACATGACTTACAGTCAAATGCTTGATAACTGGTTCATGTTTATGACTGTTGCAGTGTCTCAGGTGATAGGACCATCTTTTGCTACTTTCTGAAAAGCAAAGTCAATGGGGAAGTCAAATTCATTTAATCGTATTACTAATTACTGCAGTGATTCACTTAACAAATGGCAAGAAAAGTCATAAAATTAGATAATCACTTAGCAGAGTTCTCACTTAGGAATGTAAATTCTGGGGTCAATTGTCTTAAGTCGAGGACTACTCGTACTTAGATTTATTTACATTTATTTAATTTTGGAGTTTGGAAAATAAACATTCTTAGCTTATGTGACAAGTTTCAGTGATAAGGTAGTGGGAGTTATGGCAGTACAGAAAGAATTTTGGCTATGCAGTCATAATAGCAATAGAACTAAATTTGAATCTTGCATTTATTGTACTTAACTATGTTGTTCATGCACTATTGAGCAAGGATAATTTTGACAATTATCCTTGGAGATGTTTTTGCATCTTAATCTTGAGGTGTATTAGTTTTGTGCCTCAATGTAGAAAGAGTGCAGAAAAGAGCAACAAAGATGATTGAGAGGACTGGAGGCTAAACACATGAAGAACGATTGCAAGAAATTTATCAGGGAGAAATCCAACCCAGAAATAAGGAGAATGTTCCTGACAGTTAAAACGATTAATAAGTGGAATGGCTTGCCTTCAGAAGTTGTGGGTGCTCCATCACTGGAAATTTTCAAGAAGAGATTGGATAATCATTTGTCTGAAATGGTGCAGGGTCTTCTGTTTTAGCAGAGGGTTTATTATTTATTTATTTATTTATTTATTTATTTGGAGTTTTTATATGCCGCCCAATCCCAAAGGACTCTGGGCGGCTTACAAGAAATATATATAAAAAAACCACATAATGACAAAACAATTTAAAAACAACAGACACTCCTCATACATTCATTCTAGTCGGAGTTGCAGTAGAAGATTTCCAAGGTTCCATGCAACTCTGTTATTCTGTAATCCACTTTATTCATGATAACAACTCTCCCTCCTTTGTCAACCTGTTTGATAGGTGCCCCGGCAATCGCCTTAAAAAACATGCTAAGATATTTTTTAAAATGATCTCTTTTAAGTTTATGAAATGGTTTGTAGCAGCCAGAGGGAGGTTTTCAGTGCAGTGTGTCATTCCTTTGAAAGAATGCTATTATGTTCTAAATGGAAGAGATTTTGTCAGTAAAGAAGACTAATGCATTTATAGGTCCTCACAGCCCGCTCCCTTTTTTTACTTTGTGAAGAACAGAAGTCAGTAATTTGCTTGGGCAACATGACTTTGTGACACTGATCTGTAAAACATGTATATTTTCTCACTTGGGGTTTAATTCAGTAAAGCAAGAGATTATTAATGTTTTATTTTTTTCCATTCAGATAACATTCCTATAATGTTTGGAATTGTTTACTTGAGCACAATCTCGTTTCACCTAACTTTCTTAAGATTTCTGTGGTTTTTCATTTGTACGCTATAATGCTTATCTTTGCATCTCTTAAATCCATTTTGCACAGCATTTTATTTTAAAAAAACAGCTGAGAGTTGTGGGAACCTGAGTCCAGATTCCATATGTGGGTTTTTCTTCCATAATATGGAATTGCAGGTTTTGCTGCCTCAAGAAGAGACACTGTGTCAGGATTGCTAGTTTTAACTTTTGTCAGCTTTTATTCTCAGTTTATTTGGAAAGCCAATTTAACATAAGTCAGAGCAGAACAGAAAATGAGAATGCAGAACATATTAACACTTGGCAGTGGCCATTTGATGGAGTCACAGGCTGATTTTATATGTATTTCAAGCTGATTAAGTTTTATTTTTCATCTTCATAGTTTGACACATGATTGCATGTATTTATCAATTGCATGTGGCTTATTTAATTCACTTGGCCAGTGTCTCTTACTGTTGTGGCAGAAGTTCTGTCATGCTGTGGAATTATGTAGAATAGATAAAATGAAAAATAAAATAGCACAGATGCTCAGACAGCTAAGTTATTCCCTGATCAGAAGATAAATATTATTATGGATTTTCACCCTTTAAAATATTTTAATGTATTGTTCAAAATTCTGTCGCAAATTACTTATTCAGCCAGGGATTTGAGGGAAAGTTGTAGAAATAGACTTCTATTTTTATGTTTGTGTAACATAGTACTACATAAATAGCCAAATGCTGATATACTTTCAATAAACATTGACATGAATAGACCTTGATCTAGTCTAGTAGTTTGGGATTGTTTCATACAAATTCACTATATTTTAATATCTAAGAAATCTCTATATTGAGAAAGATTAAAGTTGTGAGTCTGTAATTTTGTCTGCCTCCAGATTTTTTATATCTATTAATTATAGTTTATTTATTGAAACCTTAGTCTTAGGGAGCACATCTCTATGTCTTCTGAATTTCAGTCTCTTTCTAGTATTTCCTCATGCAAAAATGGACAATTAAGGAAAATATATCTGGCGTTTACAAAGCTGTAAGTAATGTAAAGGTAGCGTTAATGATGCATATTAACTTTCATCAAGGACATTTATAATTCTTTAGCCATCTGATTTTATCAATATTGTCATTATATTGGGTAATTTTTTCTTATTATATTCATCTTCAACTAGTCAATTACATTTCAATTACATGTTCCTGTAGCTGACTGGAAATTTACCACCTTTGTGAATCTAAATCTAAATGCAAAATTGTTACATTAGCTTACTCTATTCCCTTTATTTCAGGAGAATTGCTAAGTCAGCCCAGGCCAGAGGGAGTAACTGAGATCATCTGTCCGAAGAATGGTAACGAGCGAGTGAATGTGGCTTTGGTTTATCCCCCTACTCCAACAGTGATCAGCCCTTGTTCCAAGTGACTGCTGGAAGTCGCCTGCCTTGGCCCCTATTATAAGGACACATCAAATGCCCCTTAAACCCTTGCTAAGCATTTTCGGAGAAGTACCACCCAGAGATGGATCTAATTATTTATGGGGCCTGAATATCACATCTTGGGAAATAAAGGTATAGTGGGGTTGCTTATTTTGCAAATGGGAAACACACTACAGTTAAATCGGGGGGGGGGGGGGGGGGGGGGGGTTTTTAAAAATTTTTTAGGAATGGTTTAATTTTATTTTTTTGAAATTTATACTTTATGGCACACATTGTAGTATTTCTATGCTTCCTGTGCTTTGGATTCTATCAACAACTCATAATCTGAGCAAACATTGACTGCCTGGGGAGTAAATTCTTTGAGAGAGTAATTCATAGTCACCTTTATAAGTTAGAAGTGTCAGAGGAAGCAATTCCTATTTGTATATGTATCTAGAGAATACTAGTATAAAAAATTGCAGAACTAAGCAAATTCTTCCCAATATCTTCCAAAGCATATTTAACCAGTTTGAGTTAGGAAATGAGTATCCAACAGGCCATATATAGCATCCTAATGTAACATTTACAGTTCCAACTACTTTCAGATATTGTACCTTAGCACCAATATGATTGGTAGGAAATGTTATTTTTTCCTCCCAAAATAAGAATGGAAATGAAAGCAGGGTAATTCCAGAAATTGAGAATTCTTCCTATTTCTGTTTTCAACCTCCCACAGTCCCCCTAGAACAATCCAAAATGTTACTGCCAGTATACAGCCCTTGTGTCACTTTTTCAAGGGTTTTAATCATCCTTATTTTTGGCTATTTTGCTCCTGTTCCCACCCTTAAATACTTGGAAAAAAGAGGGAGGGAATTAATATTCAAACTTGTTCTTTCCAAGACATCAACATGTCTTTGAAAGATTTCCTGCAGCCCCCAAAAGGCCATGATCATTAATTTTGGCCTGTGATCACTCAAAAGTTTACCTCCCCAGTCTCCACTTATATAGTCATTCCTATAGTGAACCAATACTTTTTAAACCAAACATTAATTGATAAAAAAGTTTCTCTACTAACTACCTGGAACAGGTCTGACTATCAATATGAACAAAGTTTCTGCTGATAACAAGTATTTTAGGTGGTCCTATTGCTATAATTATTCTAATAAAAAATATTGAATGTGTAAAGTGGATTGTATTTACCTGAAAGGATGACTTTTTAATACTTTGCATTTAAAATGGAAGGGCTCATTCCTTTCAATTCTGTTACTTCGGAACAAGATGATGGAGGCAGATAAATTGGTTTCAGTATATAAAATCCCCTTTGAATGGAGGAAGGACAATGTTTTAAATTCAGAGTCACCTTTCTTTTAGAAAGAGGCTATATTAAAAAAAATTCATAATAGCATTTAGTTCTGACTGATTTTATGATCATAGGAGTAATACTGAACCACAACTCCCTTCTGTTATTCTTTTGGATTAGCTTCACTAAGGATCACAGAAAGCAGATCAACCACAATAGCTTTGTACAGAGAATGGCTATTCCTATTATGCTCTGTGTGTGGATTTCCTGAAAATACCCAAGATTTGGTTGATATTAGTTGCTCAGTTTAGTAGATGTTGATCTGATTTAGTAAGAATAAACATGCCTGTTTTCTTTAGTTGTTCTTAATTTTATTACAGTCATTTATTTTATTTGGGGCTCTGACAACAATAAGGTAATTGTATGTATGTATGTATGTATGTATGTAGGATTACAGCCTGTGGCCTAATGGCTAAGAAGTCTGCCTAGTATGTAATATAGCCCAGGTTCAAATCCCAGTAAAGGGTATGGCTAGCTGATGAGAGCTAAATAGCTTGAAATAGATCTATACTAGTCTCCCTTTATTTATTTATCAGCACAAATAAAAAACATATATATATATATATATATATATATATATATATATATCCATAAACATTGCAAACTTTGATACTTCAGTTCTGCCTTCTTCTAACATACAGATTAATGAGAGCAGGTGTGCTGAAGGCTGTGCATTGGGGTGGACACAAATCTGCAATCTACATGAATTGATCCTTTTCACCGATTGGGGTTGGACTGATATGTTCAGAAGAAACAGAAAGCATCATCATCCTGATCTACTGTTGAATCTGATTACCCTGCAGTATGAAGGCTCTCACAAGAACCAAGACCATTGTTCGCTGAGAACACTATTGACCTGTGTTTTGCACTTGTTTGGACTCACGAATGTAAGCTTTTTCTCAATGTATGTACCATTAGATGTACCTGAAGAAATATCTAATGAAAAGGAATTGTTGTTAACTTTGGTGGTTTCTGTGCAGGTAGGTGTTGAATTTATCACTGGTAGCTTCAGTTGGCCTCTCCAGCAGGCAAGAAGTCTAGCATCTATTCACTTCTTCCATATCTTTAGAAGCCAAGACAGACTGTCAGAATGGTGCTTGGGCAGTTCTATTATGTCTGTGGGATATCTTTTTAGTTCTCCTGTGTGTTTCACCCCAATCATGCCGTCTATTAAATCATAGCACTAGCTGTTGCTTGTGCACAAGGATAGCAGTACAGCAAGAGATATAGGGAAATTAAATATGTACACATGTACACCTGTTCCTCAGTTATTGTCTGAGGTATCACAGAGATAATCTTGGGCAGAATTATATAAATTTAATGGAGCCGAATTTATTAAATACCAACAATCTTCCTTTTCACCCACAAATACAGTCATCATGATGACATAAATGGTCTCAATGATCCTTATATAAATTCAATACATCATGGAATTTTCACTGAAAAAAACACGTCTTGGATAAATTGTTATCAGGGAGCTCAAGTCAGATTTTGGAGTTCCCTCAGCCTTAGTTAAGCACTACTAGCTACGTTCCTTTGAATTCCTGAACCAAAAAGCTAGGTTTATTTTCATATAACTACAGCCAAATAACCTAATGTAGCCATGCAAATAAATTTGCAAAAGGTAAACATCTGCAAAATTGTTCCTGTTGCTTTCACAGAAACAGCCTAAAAAGGAAGAACTGGGAAAAGAGAGAATGCACTCTTTTTTTTCTTTTCAGTTTATAAAAACATCTCACTATTTTGCCATAAACAGGCTTGCTCCCTACATAGATAGTTTAGCAGAATGGAGACATTTGAAGCTTGAATATGCAAGGTAGCTACTTGTGAAGGCAAAACTCATATGTAACTTCATGTATAGTCCTCCAAACCTCTTCTTACTTGCCATGTACTTTTAAGGTATGGTAACTTAGAAATGAAAAGTAGGTGAACTCCTTCCATGTCACTGATTTTCAACTGAACTTTCCCCTGTTGTCAACCAGTGAAAAATTCTACTGTACAGTCATGGGTCTTCCTGTTCTGCTGGGTAGAAATTAGTACTTTGAAACAAAAGATTTGCCTGATGGCACAATATTTTCTTCATCTTTCTTAACTTTGTTCTGAAGAATATTAGCATGCCACAAGATACTATTATTTATTCAGATATCTTTAATTTGTACGTCTACTCTTCCCAGATTTATTACTTCTTGTCTTCATTTCAGTCTCTTTCTGCTAGTGTTGCAATTCCTTTTGGATTGGTTGGAAGTTAATTTGAAATCTGATTCTACCTATGTGGGATGGCAGCAAAGGCAGAGTAAAGTCTAGTATGCCAGAATTATAACATTGCAGAATCTGGGATTAGCTTTGTATGGATTATAAATTCTAAAAACTCTATAAATCCCTTTCAGGATAGGCCCATTTGTTGTGAGCAATCCTTTTTGGAAATGTTCTTCCTTTCCCTCCCTCCCTCCCACTTTTTACTTTTTCAGTTTCTTGGATTTGGTCTGGCATTTCCTGCAAAAGGAATGGCAATTAAGGAGACATTCATTCTTTTGCTCATTTGGCTCTTTTCCTTTGTTTAGAACATCCATCTGTCCATGGTCATTTTTTTTAGAAGCCTGCTTGAATTAGCCTTAATATTAGCTCAGCTCTTAAAAGGTTGCTGAGCTATGTGAAAATCCAGGAAATGCCGGTCACTGAAATAGCATCCAGCCTAATTTGCACATACTATCTGCTTCCTTTCATTTTTATTTTTATTTAATTTTAGAATTCATGCTGAGCTATGTGAAAATCCAGGAAATGCCGGTCACTGAAATAGCATCCAGCCTAATTTGCACATACTATCTGCTTCCTTTCATTTTTATTTAATTTTAGAATTCATTTTGCCAGCAGCAAGTAAAATTGTACAGCAGGCTAGACTGCTGGACTGAGTTTAAAATAAGAAATAATTAACATTATTCTCCTCTCCCATTTACCTGGAGTCATACTCACTAGCACCATCACAGAAGCAAAATAAATTTGAAAAGAGCTGAATAGACTTTTCCCTCTGCATACTTGTTCACAAATTGTTACTTAGAATTATAGTGATGCACTAATATGGAAGTTTAGTTGCAAGCACCTAAAAAAGCAATTACAAAACTCAAACAGAAGTAAGAGGACATCCAAAGTAATATTCATTCCCTCATTCCAGAAATCAAATGAATATCAGGTTGATTTTCCAATAAAAGATTTAAGAATAGCCAAGAAAATTCCATTCTGGATGTATTTATGAAAAAAGTTGACCTGTTTCAGTAAAACAGAATCATTCATAGAGGTGAATTGATGTTAGAGAAGGTTTGTCAGTTGAAACAAGAGATTAAATTGCTAATTTTTCGCCACACTGAAATTGGTGCCACTTAATTGGCAGGCCCAAATGTTTAACTTGATTTGTTTTCCTCAAATGATTGGATATGTTTGTTTTTACAACAGTTAAATTTGTCCATTGGTTTTATAAATATCCACATAATGAATACGCTGGGTTTGGGGCATACGTGAAGAATACTATTATTCTTCATACTGCATATCCAGCTTTAAAAAGTTTCAAGTCCATTCTAGTTAGTAAATAAATAAGCACTAACGAATCATCAGAACTGTAGCTGCCTGTTTGACAATTTTGATTAGTAGGACAGAGTCCATGTTTATAAACAATAGGCCTGGAAGTTCTCAGTATTTTTAACTGTAAGCAAAAAATCATTTCATTTCAAGATATATATGAATACACTTTGACATTTGCTTACTTTAACCTAGATATACAGTATGTATCTGGCAAACAAGATAAATCTTATTTAAGCAATGAGAAAAAGCTACTGAGCTTTTCTTTCTACTGTCCCATCATCAAACTGGTGTATTGCCCCTGCTCATTATCGCAACTACTATATTGAAATAATATGCATATTGGGATAATAAGAATATTGGACACTGATTGTTGGTTTTTGAAGGAGGTTTGAATTCAGGGCAGAAGATCACAGGCTGCAAGTATCTTAAGACTCTAAAACTATCCCATTTATTTTACCTTCCTCCCCCACCAACGCCTGAAAAGTTTGGCCTGATTCTTATTCTGATGTTGTTTGAGGATTATCTGAAAAGAAATATAATTGTCACAGAATGTTATTTTTGTGCTAGACTATCCAGTTTGTTTCAGTTACCCTTTACCAATTGATAAGTGGACAGTCCACCTGGATTGATTGCCGGGGGGGGGGGGGGAGATTTCTTACTAATTTGTAGCCACTATCTACACATTTGCAGAGTGCCAAGATGGAAATGGCTCTTTTAACACCGAATAGAGTAAAAAGGGGGAGATTTTGTACTGGCATCTGAGACTCTTTCCCTTTCTTCTATTATGATACCTTCTACCATCTGCTGGCTGATGGTTAAGATTAGCATGGCATCTCTCTAGAAAATCATCAGGCCAGAGGTAGGCGTAACATATTGTCTCTTAAAAGTTGAAAACACTACAGTATACTGAAGAACTACTAAGTCCAGAGTTAAGTTGCCACGGTCGAGAAACAATAACTTAGTCAAATAATGAAATGAGCAAAAAAGGAGAATTGTAAGCAATAGCAGAAGGCGAGTGAATATATAAAAGAGCTTTCATTTATTTAATCATTTTATACCCCATCTTAAATCTTCAAGGTGAGTAACAAAACTAAATAATAGAGTTGGTCTTTGCCTCGGCATCACCCCAGAACCAGATCAAAATAGGGTAACTTGGAGTGGGTTTTTTTAAGTTGCTTGAGTCAAAAATCTTTCTCAAGCAAAGTGAAATTTAGGGGTATTATTTCCATCATAGCTAGGTGGGGATAAGGCATCCTGCGTTCAGGAATGAACAGGTCCATTTTCAAACCAGAGACCTTGAAATTGGTCATCTCAACTACAGCTCTTTGGACAGGAAGAAATAAAACGGGCTGATTCATTCTTTCTGTAGCTGCAATCAACCAATATTTTTCTGTGCTATATATTGCAAATGCTTCTTGTGAATAATTAACTGATTATTTTTTACAAACCTCTCAGTCTTCTATCAATTTATTTGTCTTCCTATTTCTTTTCTCAGACCTTCAGTTTGCTTTTAGAATGAGTTTCCAGTTCTCATTTTATGTAAAAACAATTTTCAATATTACTAGGATGTTTTTTTTTCCTTTGCTTAATTCTTTCTTATTCCCTTATTCCTCCAGTAACAATATTTACTATTAGTTGTAATTTTATAATTGCCTAAGTGACTGGAAATAATGTATTTTTCTTGCATTGGAAGAGAGTATCCATAGTTTTGACTTGTTTCACTTGCTCTGTCAAGAGGAGGTAGTTTTTGCATCTCCTTAAAGAAAAAGAGAGCAACTTTGTGAAATGTTTCTGGTCCTACCTACTCTGATGTACAACAAAAACAGCTCTTTTTCTTCTTCTTTTATCTTCTGCTATGAGAGAAACCCAGGTAGTCTTACAATTTCCTTCAATGCTTCTGGAGAGCATTCTGACAAATAGGGCAACCAATTCTTGAGCTCTACCCCTGGATAAGTGCTTTCTCCAGGATGCACAATCACTCAAGCGGCTTCACCTGTATGTTTATTTCATAATTTGGCTGTGACACAAATAGCAGGTATTAGTTGCACAACTTTGAGATGATAGGATCATAAATTTTGGAAGTGGACAAAGGGACCCTTGGATCAAAGGTGATGTTCCTGGGAAGGAAGGCTGCTATTTCTGGCTCTGCCAGTGATATGTGGATCAGATTTTCACCCTTTGCAAGTGGTCTCCTCAGCTTGCTTATCCTCATGCTCTCTGCTTTCCAGGACTTCAAGACTGTTTCTCCGAGAAGCTATTTCTCAAAGCTATGCTGATGGGATCTGCAATCTTGGAAAGGAAAAGGTAGAAAATGGTATTTGTAAACAGAGGTTGTAAACAGAGCCCTCAGCTGATTGTTAACTAAAGGCTACTTGAAGTGCACACCAAACTAATATCCACATGCTTCATCAGGATCCCAAATGTCTAGGCAAGAGTGTGCTTGTTTCACAGTGCTAATTTTGATGCAGAGATCTGAGGGGAGCTGTCACCCTCGGAGAATTAATCTCCCACTTCCAGTATGGAGAATGGAGAACTTTTAAATGAAAGATTCATGGTATACTTTCAGAGGAAATGGGAAGATATTTTGAGATGAAGATTTCCTGCTGCTTGCTAACCCCCCCCCCCTTTTACAAAACTCTTACCGCCATTTTTTTTCCTCTTTTACTCTGACAAAACAGTCAACCAATCCCTAGATGGTGAACTTTTTCAGCACCAAGTGCCCAAACTGGAACGTGTGCACGCATTTCGGAGCACCGGAAACCCAAAGATTAGCTGGCCGGTGCGCATGTGCAGGCTGGCCACCTGGTCTTTGGGTTTCCAGCATGCGCATGCACGCTGGCCAGCTGGTCTTTGTGTGCGTTGGAGCACTGAAAATCTGAAGTCCAAGTGACCGGCACTGGAAACCAGAAGAGCAGCTGCGACGGCGTGCGCGCCCACAGAGAGGGTTGTGTGTGCCACCTCTGACACGTGTGCCATAGTTTCATCATCACGGCCCTAGATGATTCCAAGGTCAGATAATCCTTTCCCTTAGATCTGCCATGATCATCTTTCATCAGGTTCATTGATTATTGATTGACAACAAAGATCAACCCTTCGTAGTTGAGCACTATGACAAATCTCTACACCCCACTTTGCAAGCTTCAAAATGCCATTGGCAGATGCCATCACTATGTTCCTTACTTGGGGAACAATAATAAAAAAGGAAACAGTAACATAGAAAATATCCTGATCACCCACAAAGTGAACTTATATTAAATAGGTCTCAGCAACCTTTGCATTCACTTGCATGTCCATTCCATGGTCTGAGTAGCTTGTCTAATATAAATATATGAAAATATCAGTTGGCCAAGACTTCATCTTCACCAAGACTACACTTTATATTAAGGAGATTACTACTGTGATTATTGCCAGTCTTTAACAAGAAGATCCAGTGTTGGGAGATCAGTCACCATGAATGCTTGGGTATTTCACATAAATATTCACAGAGAAGCATCTAGAAATGCTTCAGGTTATCAATCATCATCTTTCTATTTAAGCCGCACAGCTGGTTGGAAAAGGTTGTAAGGATACTATTAAATATTTATAGAATCCAAGAAGAATGGGGAAAGAGTTCCTGGATTATGGGATATTCTATATTGCTCCCACATTGAAGCATTAAAGTTGATTTCTAAATGTCTCCAACAAGGAGACTGGTTGTGTCCATGGACTTCTAGGAGACATACAGGTAGTCTTCGACTTGCAACCATTCATTTACTGACAATTTGAAGTTACAATGGCACTGGGGGAAAAAGTGACTTAGGACCAGTTTCCACATTGTTGCAGCATCCCGAAGTTCGTGCAATCAAAATTCAGGCGCTTGTTAACTGATATGTATTTATGATGGTTCCATTATCCTAGGGTCATTTGGTCACCATTTGCAACCTTCTCTGCCACTTCTGACAAGCACCGTCAATGGGGGAATCTAGATTCATTTAATGAGCACATGATTCACTTAATAACTGCAGTGATTCATTTAACAAGCCTGGCAAAAGTTGTAAAGCACAAGTCACTTAACTAAGTCATAAGTCGAGGACTATATATATTTATTATATATATTATTAATCCATCCCACTGAAGATTCCTCCAATTGGAATGTTTGGTACAGTGCTTCCAGAACATCGCCCTTCCCTTCATGCTACTATCAGTCATGGTGGGGATGAGAGTGTGATGGCACATTTTCAAGATCACAATACATTGTGAACTTGAGGGATTTTTTTCTCTAACTTCCCAGGCATGAATAAAACCCTGCCCTGCCTGCTAAAGTGAGTAGGAGAAATGCTAGCTAGGAATACTCTTCATTCATCATAGAAAGAAGGCCTTCCAAATAAAATTCAATGTTCGATATTGTATTTTCTTCTTTTGAGTTATTGCAATCAGTATTTTCCAGTCCCATTTTAGCCCTAGTGGTATGGGGATTACATATGTATATTAGCATTTTGTTCCAGAGGGGTTGAAGACAGAAAAGGATGGCTGGGTGGGCAATCAAATCATACTGGCAAATGGTGACAAAGAAAACTTAAAAATCTATTGTTTCAGTCTACATACTTGAAATTTTCTACTCTGATTTGTATGAAATGTATGCTTCATGTCATAATGTTTATCACTCCTTTAGATTTATGAGCTTTAATAACTAAAGTTAAAGGAATTTTCATCTCCTTTACACCCCCAGGTTCATTCAATTATTGGTCCAGTTTCCTGCACGATTATAGATCTGTTAGGCATTTTTCTTGTTCTAGATAATGGGAGGCTAACGTTCCAGATTTCTTGAAGAATGCTCCAGAATTGGAAATGAGCTGATAAGCTTACCTCCACCCCCCAACTAAGACCAAGTGAATCAGACTATTTTCTTAAGGACTTTGCCTAATCCTAAACATAAGGAAAGAAATATAATATCCTACAAATAAAATAAATGAAAGCCAGGGGGAGGGGGTCTTTGGGCCATTCACACTGTCTCATTAAAACCTACCTCACAAGGCTGTTGTGAGGAACACAGGAG